TTTAATTTTCAACCTGTAGGCTTTACATTTAACCTGTCAAAGTATCTCTATTGAAAGTCGACTTTTGACCTAAACTTGAAATAAATATCTTACTCTTCCCAAACCAGAAGTTGGTAAGATATAGGCCTTATTACGTGGGCATGCAAGAGGGCGTGATTGTTATCAAGCTGTGAAGGAGAAAACAAGCTAGAAAGACCCTCCACCTGTATTTTTTTTATAGTGAAATTCTGGTCATTTCACCATGAATGGAAAAGGGAGGTTGCCTTAGGGAGGTTGCCTAATAGCATACGCATCCTATTTGGAAAACATTTGGGAGGAATGTTTTTCTAAGTTGGAAGATCTGCCATTTAGCAACTGGGGAGTGGGGTGTGAACTGGATGCCAAGTTTTTAAAACATGTTTTTCTTTATTTCTAAACCAAGGATGTTTATTAGACTGATGATGTCACTAACAGTCTTTCTTTGCTAAGGCAGGTTTGAATACGCTGATCCTTAGACTCAAGACTGTCATATAGCCTTTGTTTTCTGGTGTTTTTCTGATTTTTTCTTTTAATTCTTTAATTCATACAAAACATAGTTCACTTACTAACTTTTCGAGATTTAAAATTGATCTAAGTGAGGTGGGAATTTTTTGTAAACCATATATAGACACAAAAGAGATATTCCTTGCCAACTAGTGACACATGGCAGATGAAGACAGAGTGGGAGATACACTTCCGGTTCATGACAATTCTTCTGAGCAGTTTGTGATTAACCCTTTAGGGAAGCATTTGTGCTCAGAGCCCTGTGATAGCAGGACAGTATCAGGGCCACACAGAGGCTCGCTCTGGACGGAACATGCCTCACTGCAGATGGAGCCTGAAGTCCATGTTGCATAAACACTAAGTGTAAAGAACTGTGGTGAGAGATGACATTCAAAACAAAACAAACCCATGTTGACAAAGTGGACCATTTCTAGAGAGCTGTGTTTCAGAGAGCTTTTCGGCATAAATGACAAAGATGGGGACAGTGGATACTGATCTGTCTGCAGACTCCTGATTTAGTGTGAGAATGTCATGATTTCAAAAATGATGCTTGTAGCAGCGGTAATGCATTGGGAGTATTGTATATTTCATAAAGAATCACTGTAAGAGTCTTTTTAGCTAATTTTTTGATCCCTGAAAAAAGTATCAAAAATATCAAAGTACTAAAGGAATCAAATTCATGTAGAAATTAATCTTTTCCTTTCCTTTTTCAGCCAATTGCATTGTAATCTCACTATGTGAACATGAATTTGGGGTGAAATAAGAAACTTTAAAACAATCCTCCCTTAGGGATTGTTGCTATATTGTCCCCTAAACTTAATGAAAACAGTTTTAGACATTAGAGTACTAAAAATACAAAGAACAGAAAACCATCGGGGCTTTTTTTTTCATAAGGGTAATTAAAAAAAACTTGGTGTACTTTTAAATAAACAACCTGTTTATTCTTCTTTAGAGAGCTTTTCAGAATACAAGTGGAAGCCTAGTATTGCAGTTTGATAGCAGTAATCTCAAAACTGGTTAAAGCTTACTTACATAACTAGGGCTGCTTTGTTTATGAATGTAAATGAGTAGTTGACTGTTCATTCTGTGTTTTGAGAGGGAAAAGCATTTAGAATGTTTAAAGGATAATGAATTCATCCTTTTTCAGCCTTTTCTTCCCCAGAGCCCCCAAACTCCAGGTATTTTGGTGTGGCTGGCTGGCCTTTGTTCTGGATGCCTGGGACACTCACCCTAACTCATCCGTTAAGATCTGGCACAAATGTCACATCCACAAAGATTTCCCAGACCCCTTTCCATGGAGGGGAACAGCTCCTTTCTCTGTGATTCCCCAGTCTTTCTTATGAATGCATTTTCTGCATTGTACTCATTCTGTGTCTTTCTGTGCCACCAGCCTGTCAGCTTCTGGAGTGTGTGCCTGCAGGCTCCTTGGCCTGCAAAACCCTTGGAACGAGTGCTCTCTTACTTAGTTCTTGTCAATCAGTGTTTATCACATAAGTCATCTTTCTGTCCCCCAGAAACTTTAAAGAAATTTTCTGATTGAAAAAAAGTACAGTGCCTTGAACATTCAATAGGTGATGCTACTTCTTTTCAGTTTCATACTACTGTGGAGCTTTGGCCAATTTCTGTTATAAAAGCAGACATGAACACAGAATTTGGCTCAAATTTCTTTTCTTCAGTCCCTTAGTTGTGTAGGAACAGGCTCAGATGGTGTTTAGAAGTTTATCTAATGGTACATTTGATAAATGATTAGACTATTTTTGCAGTGGTTAAGATCGAAGGAGGCCTGGCTGTTATTAGTAGGGATTTGGTCTATCAAAGATATGAAGTTTAAAACAAATTTGGAATGAAATTTTGTTTAACTAAATAACAGAAGTGTTTTTAAAGTACAATATTAAAACATTTTTCCCTTATTTTTATTTTTTGTCGGGACAGCTTATCTGTCTGATAAAGTACAATGTTGACAACTGGTATCCCTACGTATTAGTTGACTATCTTGTTCTCAGAGCAAAGAGAAAATTTTGAGAGAAACATGGTTCTAATCCTAGTTGTCTCTCAGTTAGAGTTTCCTCAGCTTTAGAATGGCATCTGAAGGTGATTGCATCATATTTCATAATCACTCGGCTAAACTATTTGCTGTTTAGTCTAGCACTAGGCACTGAGGCAGCAAGGTCTTTCACCCAAGCAGCCTCAGCTTTCACCCAACCTGAGCATTGGGAGACCCTAAGTAGGTCTGGATTCACTGTCACTTTATCAATCTACACACCTGAACTTTTCCTCCTGTCACAGAAATAAACCCTGTAGCTAATTCTTCAACCATTCCCCCCCACCCCCACTGCCCCTACTTTCCAGCTGGAGAAGTGGGCACTGCCCTTTGGAGCAGCCCACCTGTCACCAGTGCACACCTCAGTCCACAGGGGTGTGTCATTAATATGTTGCAGCTGATGCCTCCCTCTTTAAAACTGGGTGGTTGTCACCTTGGTGACTCACACAGGGCTTGCCCAGCTCAGACTCTGGAATCCCTACATCTATCTCAAGTCTAAGGTCTCCCACTTGACCACACTTTGCTCTGTTTGTAGTTAATTAAGCTGACATTAATCAAGACCCAGATGAGGAGCAGTGAGGTAATATTGTGCTTGTATTGCTTTAATATACATCATCTGATTAATCATGGTAGCATAAAGCAGTTCTCAGAATATATAGCTGCTGAATTAGAGTGAAAAACCTGGATATTTGCCCTAACTTATCCTTGCATATGGGATCAGGGAGATTTCTGAATTCCTTTACCAAGTCACTTGTTTAAGACTAAAACTGTTTTTATTTGGTTGGTGTTTGAATTTGAACGTTTGAATTTCTTTGTAGCAAAGCCAAGCAATTGCTGAGAAAACTGGGTCAGGGAAGGTGTTTGGGGGTCAACAATTTGTATTTTGTTTCATTTTTAGGTAGAGGAATGCTTCTCTTTTGGCCCAAGGGAGGTTGTGGCAGATGTTGCATTAAGCAGTTGGAGGATTTTGGGGTTGGGGGTTGGGGAGTAGAATCAACGACAAAAAGTTGCCAATCATATGTGGGACTCAAATCGGAGCTTTGGGGAACTATCTGATTGGGGCATATAGCAGAAAAACAATTTTGTAAAACTTTTTCTACATGAAGGTTTTTCAAGTTTGGAGTTAAGACCCAATCTTGAGTGGGAATTACATTGATTCTTTTTTCAAATGAAATAGAATAGAAAATACCAGAATACATTGCAAGTGGTAAAGTTACGTTTGGTGCAACTTTTGTTTCAGTTGTGTATATATGTATTGGGGTGTGTTATAAAAAATTATAAGTCACCATTCTTACTTCAGGAGTCTAGGTGTCTCATCATGAATTATTCATTTTAAAAAAACATGAAAAGAGGCTGTTTCGGTTATTCTTCAGAACCTGACCTTGATATTGAGAGCCTTCTTGTGATATTAGATTTTCCATGAACTTTATATTTTCCCTATTGAAATTGTATTTTGCTTTATGTAGTTTAACATCTCCAGAGCCCATCCTCTTTCAGGTTTTCACACTGTTTCCTTCGTGTCACTGGAGAGAGAAGGGTGAAGGTTTGCTTTCTTGGGTTGTTTCACCTTCTCCCAGAGGCACTAGGGCAGATTGGGAGGTAACTGGAGAGGGAGAGCAGTCGTCCCCAAGTGTCTTGAGGTGGGTGGGTCTGGAGCTTTCTTTGTATAACTCTGTTCCCTGCGCTGGAGAAGTGATCATTCAGCCGATCCACACTCCGCCCTCGCCACAAAGACACCGGGCCTAAGTTCCCCAGAGGGGAACTTCCGCGTGACGACCCCGTGGAGGTGCCATCCTAACCCCCGTTTCAAAGGCAGCTCAGAGTTGCTTGAGGTCGCCCAGCTCAGCTGGATCGAGGTCAGCAGTGAGCGCGTCGCGTGAGTCAGCCTTGGGCGCGGCCCGCCCGGCTGTGCCGCCGGTGAGCTGGCGACCCTCGGCCTGCGGAGGGCGCTGGGACTCGGCGGGGGGCAGCCAGCCGGAGCCCGCGTGGGAAACCTACGCGCCAAGCGAGGTGTCGCGTGGGAGCGCAGCGGGTAGGGGCGGTGCTTCCGGGGCAGGACCGGCCGCCCCGCCCCCTCAGCCTTCGAGACCCGCCCACGAGCTCCTCCCCTCCCTATCAGGCCCCGCCCCTCGGCTGCCGGCCCCGCCCAGCCGGGCGCGGGCGGGCGGCGTCGCCTTTAAGAGCTCCCCGGTGTTTTGGGGGCCGCGGGCCGGGCGCGCTGACCTGGTGCGCATGTCCCGGGCGGTGACGCCGGCGCCGGGCTCCATGTGTGCGGCCGAGGGGCGCATTATCTGGCCGGCGGCGCGGGCGGGCGGGCGGACCGGCGGAGCGAGCGCCGCGGGCCCGGGCGGCCCCACAGGCGGAGCGAGCGCGCGCAGCCCGGCGCCCCCGGCCCCTCCGCCGCCCGACTCCTCGGGCGACCCTGGCCCCGCAGCCCCGCGAACCCGCGCGCTGCCCTAGGGCCCGGCCGACCCGTGGCCGGGTAAGTTCCGGACCAAAGTTGGCTGGGGGCGGGGGCCGGGGACGCGCGGTGCAGACTGGAGCGGCGGGGGCGGCGCGGGCCGAGCAGGGTCGGGGGAACGGGGGGCTGTGAGGGACCCCCGCGTGAGCGTGGAAAAGTGAGAGCGAGCGAGTTCTACTCCTCGTGTTCTGGGAGCGTCTTCTTGCGCTGCCCTGGAAAGTTCCTTGCTCCGACGTTGCTCGGGCACGTGGGGGACGGGCGGGGCGGGGGTCCCGGAAAGTCGCGGCGTCGCCCCGCTTCCTCCTGCGCTTCCTGCGGGGCCGGGGGAGGGGCCGGGCCGCCAGGCGCGGCTCCTAAGCGGTCGGGACTGGTGGGGGCGGCACGTGGGCGCGCTGGGCTGGGGTCCCGCGCAGGGGGTGGGGGTCCCGCGCGGGCTGGGCTGCGGCGCTGAACCCCGCGGCGGCGGCGGCTCCCGTGTCAGAATAAGAGTCCCCGCGTGCCCACGCCTGCAGGGCCGGCCCTCCCTCCGCCCTCCCTCGGCTCGCGCCCTTCCTGCCTGACCCCCGGGAGCCGCGGGACCCTTCCCCCTCTCTGGTCTCCAGCCTTTCCCAGAGCCCTACACTTGAAATTTGCCTCCCCATCTAGGCGGTGGCTCCATTGATTTCTTTTTTCCCACCTGGAATGGGTCCGCATCAGTGACTAAACAGCAGCAGCTGGCCTTTTAAAGGGATTATTGCCAAGAATCGGAATTGATCACTTCAACTAGGAAAGGCTTATGAGCAGGGCCCTGGCTGAGAGCTTGACGGGCACTTGGTGTGTGTGCACGCTGGGACCCAAAATTGAATGGGGACCCCTCCTTTAGGAACAAAATGACAACACTTGGGTGCGTGTTTTTGCCTTGCCCTGAGAATTTTGTAGAGACCGCTTAATTTTGTGTATGTTACCTAAGGTTTGTAGGTGTGTAGTTCATCTTTATCTTAAGAGCTTTGAATTCTTCAGGTCAAAGTCTGAGTGAGTCATTTGAACCTTTAAGTTTCTCTCTTCCTTACCGATTTACTTCTTTCAGTTTTCTTGGGAGTACGGTGCTGGTTACATCTCTGGTTCTGTGTGCCCACTCACACAGTGACACCTCCTGGCTGTGGCAGCACAGAGAAATGGAGAGACAGCTCTCTGTGCCGTTGCCTCAGTCTTGGACTTACTCATCCTGTTGACTTACTTTTTCTTCTGGTGGTAGTTACAAGTTTTCTGTTAAGCTAGATTACACGAAATAGTGTTTGCTGGCACCAGTTTGTTAATATATTCTAAAATCAGTAGCTTGTCAGACCTGACTGCAGGCTGTGGAGGAGGGCTAATAGCTCATACTAGCTCCCAGATTTGAGTGCCTACTATGTGCAAAGCTCTGTGCACAGGCATATTCAGTGCACATAAAGATCCCACGGGGAGTTGGGGAGTATAATCACCACTTCACAGGTAAGGAAATTGGGCCTCCTGGAGGCCAGTCTGCTTGCCCAAGGCTGCTTAGTGGAGAGGCAGAGCCCGGCACCCAGTGCTTGGTGCTCCAGAGCTTGGAGCTCCACAATGCTGCTGTTTGCAAGGCAAAAGAGTGAGCATGTTTCTGGAGCTTCTAAAACACGAGGAGGTTTTCCTGGCTAGGCTCTAGTGCACCTCTCCTTGGGCGTGGGGAATAATCTGGTGACTTGGGGACACCATTCTGGCCCTGCTTTGTCCTGGGAGAGCAAAGTTACCAGCTGGCCTTTAAGGAGCCAAGCCACGGAGTTGCCTCTTTGCGTTTGCCTTCCTCAGCCTTGGACTCAGCAAAGTTTCCTAGAATTTTGAGAGGGACTTTCTAGGCCCTTGCTCTTCACTTACTCCCTCACCCCCTTCATCTTTAATTTCTTGTTTGTCTCCTAAAATTCTAAAGCTGATTTTTATCAGGGTTGCCTTTCATCTTGGAAGTTGTATAGAACAGCGATCCCCAACCTTTTTGGCACTAGGGACTAGTTTATGGAAGACAATTTTTCCACAGGGGGTGTGGTGCGGGGGGTGTAGGCAGAGCTCAGGCGCTGATGCGAGCACTGGGGAGCAGCAACTGTAGTGGCTGTAAATACACATGAAGCTTTGCCCACTGCTCACCTGCTGTGTGGCCTGGTTCCTAAGTTTCATGGAAGACAATTTTTCCATGGGGCGGGGGGCAGGGGGTGGAGGGATGTTGGAGCTGAGGCCGTGATGTGCAGCTTGGTTTCTAACAGGCTACAGATGGCACTGGGCGGCCCAGGGGTTGAGGACCGCAGGTGTAGAGAATGGGAGGGCGTCTGTATTAGTGATTTGGATGCATGCATGCGTTGTTATTTCCACTCAGATGACATCATTTTTTTAAATGTCAAGTCATCTGTATTAATGCAGTATCATTTGGCAGATCCCACGATCTTATATTTTGATAGTGAGGGAAAAATAATGCTACTCTCAGGAAAAAATCCTGGAAGGATTTGTATCAAAATGTCAATAAAAATCTCTGGATTAGGATTAGCAGCAGATTTTTTTTTTTTTTTAACTTTTTAGTATATCTGTATTTTGTGGGTTTTCTTTAAATGAGAAGCATTTTTTGAGTAATGCAACATTTTAAAGACTCTAATTTTCAACTCTCCAGTAGCTCCTCTGACTTGTTTTGTATCATTTATTTTGTGAATTTCTGGCATTGCATTTAGTGATTTCTGGATTGATTTATTCAATGAATATCAGAGTGCATACCGTGCCTCCAGCACTGTGCTGGGAATCCTGCTCAGTGAAGTTTACAGTGAGATTAGTGGACCAGGAATCATAATTAATCTCATAAACATGGGGAAACTTTACAGGGGCAAGGAGAGAAGGACACTGATCTGGTGAGTCCAAAAGGGGCCTTTCTTCTACAGGGGTCAGAGGATGAGTAGGGGTTAAGTAGGTAAAGAGAAAAAGGGAAAGAGTTTCTGGAAGAGAGTGCTTGGACTGAAAGAACATTGTTGTGGTTGGAACAGAGAGGGTCACAGGGCACTAGACACTAGATGGGCAGGTGGCTGGGTACCGAAGGGCTGAGGTGGGGTTTGGGATTTTACCCCCAGGGCAGTGGGACCCCAGTGAAAGGGATAAGGCAGGGGCTGGTGCAGTGAGGAGCACAGCCAGGACCTCTTTGGTCTTAGCAGATGACTGAAGGATGCTTCAAGGATGGGACTACTGAAGCAGTCAAGTCGTTCTTGAAATGTTGGCATTTTCTCGTATTTGTTCTCTTGGGAGAAAATTAATAATGACCTGCAGAGTCTTGGATATGTCAACTCCCAAGAGAAACAAAAATGTGAGAGCCCTTACCACAGTTTAGTTAAGGACCATCAGCATGTGCTAGCATCTAACAGGCTGTACGACTCATGCTTGTCTAGAGAACTGCTTGCTTGGACTCCGGGTGTTTCTGTGCCGTCACATGGAACAGGCAGGGCTATTTTCTCTAGACCGCCCCCCCCCCCCATAATTGAGTTAATTTATGCTCGTTGTAGAAAGCTAGGAAGATTATGAAATAGGCCAGTGGGTGAAGTCTTCCGTGAGCAGCCGACCTGGGGTAATAGAGCATCCCTGGGATTCCCTCCCAACCCTGTGTGGTTGGGATTGTGGCAGAACCAGAAGAACGAGTTGGCAGTGTCATAGTTTGAAGTTTACAGAACTGTGCTGCCTGCTAAGTGTGGTCATTTGTTAGAATGGATGTTCTTGAGTTATCTGCGCTCTTTCAGCAGGTGACTTAGTCTGGCCTCAGATTGCTAGTCTTCCAGGTAACAGGACTTACTTTATATGCTAACTGTGCAAAGGTATGTCTTTGAATTGAATTAGGAAGGCAGTCTGTTAAGAACGTTGAGATGAAAAAGGCAGGGATCTCGAAGTGGTTGCAGCGACATGTAGTGAGACTGGTGCTCGCAGAAACAGAAGTGCTGGCTGGGGACAGATCCTGCTGGAGCTTGGATTCCCGCGGATTCCCACAAATGCGATGCAGGACTTTTTTGTCAAGAGAATGTCAGACTATGGGCTTTCTTGCCCCTCCCCCACCCCATGCTTTCCAGGCTGTATTTGTGACCTCTTTTTGTCAGATGGAAATGTAGGTTAGTCTTTTAGAAGACAAAGGAATTTACTCTAATGAAATACCTGCAGGTAGCATCAGGAAGTGATTGGGAAGCCACGAAACTCTCCAGGGTGTGGGGGAAAGGGGTCAGTGAGAATGTCTCACATTTGCACTTCCAGTGCCCTTTGCAGCTTCTCTGCCCCCACACCCACTTTCTCTCTTGATCCTCCCAAAGGCACCCCTTTCACAGGTGAGCTTGTCGGGGCACTTGCCTTTCTCTTCTGATTGCCAGTTCTAGGGTTCCTTACATGAAGGGGCTTCAGCTATCAGACATGCTATCTCTGAGGAGTGTGGAGGCCAGCATCCAAGTTAGGACGTGCTGGCAAGAGATGGGCAGCGCCTGAAAAGGGACTTCCAGCAAGTCGAGCTGGGGGTTTTGGGGAGGTTTGAAGCTGTAGGACTTGGAGGCTGCTGGGCCTCAAAGATAGCCAGGTGTTAACTGCAGCTGCAAGGAGGGCAGAGCCATTATAGGGCAAGTGGTAGTGCAGGATTGGAGAGAGAGTTCAGTTGTTTGAAAGATTTGTTGAAGAACCCTTCAGCCAGTCCTCCCACAGCCCCATCTCAGGACCTCGAGTCGCCCAGCCTGCCTTGCTGGTCAGATCTTTTAGTTTGAACCTTGAAACTTAACTCAGCCTAAATAAGGTGGTGCCTTTGAGCACATGTTAAAAATACTGCTGCATTATGGTGGAAGACTGGCTCTTCCTGTGCCAGGGAGGCCACTGCAAGTCCAGGGCTGCCAGCTGTTTGCTGAGTGAGGCCACAGGCCCAGGTCTTTGTAGTGGCGTCATGGACAACCTAGACAGTCTGGTGTGAGCCACGCCCTGCCAATTCCTAATGATGGGACCTTGCTGAACCTCCCCCTGTTTCCCATTTCTGTAAGAGGGGG